TGCAGATATTTAATATTTATTTATATTTTAAAAATATAATAAAACTATTTAATAAATTATTAAATACTTTTAATTTGTATGTTTTTTTTTTTATATTTCATCTGTTTTAAAAAAACTTTTAACTTAATAATTAAATTAATAAAATTCAACATTTATAAAAAGTTATTAAGCGAAATAACTTCTATCAAAGTTAATTTTAAAATAATTTGATATCCAGTCTTCATTTTTTTAATTAAATAAAATTTGCTATTATTTTGGAATATCTCTTCACCAACTAATTTTATGATTTTACAGCCATTTGTTGTTAATCTATACCCAATTTGTTTTTTTTTTTTAAAAAAAAAAACTACCACATTTTATTAAACGTAATCTCTCCCAAGAAGAAGTGAATATCATTTAATCTACTTTCAGCGCAAGTTGTACAGAAGAGTACATATACAAAAGTCTTCAAGTGAAAGTTGTTATTAACTAAGAACCAGCAAAACTATCTAATTGAATTAAATATCGTTTACATCATAATAAATTTAATGACAAAGTAGTTAATTAAGAACATTTCAATTCATAACTATATATGCTACTAAAACATATGTATTCATAACTAATCTGTGTATAATTTTCAATAGTATTCGTAACTTATTTGCATATAATTTTCAACAATATTCCTAGTCATTCCATAGTGAATTTTATAATTAATTCCAAATCAAAATTATAGCTTTTCCATACCAAATCTCTAATTATTTAATACGTGTATTTAATCTACAAATAACATCGTTCTTACTTTCAGTAACATTTTTGCAACTAATTCATATAGATATTAATTCAATTTGAGGGATATTTAATAAAGATCAAAGCTATTTAAGAACTAACTCGATTTTTTTTTTGTTCCATATTTTTATTATTTTAACAAGAATTAACGAATAGTGAGAACCGTCACAAACTAACAGTCTACACTTTACACAAAATCACAAGTAACGTAAGAGTGACTCACTTTTTAAAAATTTGGTAATATAATATTTTTTTAATAAGGTTAAATTTCCTTTCTTCACATCAAAATGAAACATTTTTAAAAAATTTGCCAGAAATGTTTGTATACGATGACAATTTATCACAAAGAAAAATTTGAAGTACACACCTAACATAAATTTGACGTTAAATTAGATCCACCAGTATATATTAGAAAGAATACATGGATCATGCATATTCAGCAGACAAGCTTTTCCTAATGCATTCACCGAGTTATATAATGGTCCACCTAAATGTATGACGCTAGTCAATTTCATAATGCACGAAGCTGAGGTGGACACAGCTATCACTAAAATAAGGGTTGGGTCTATATTCTGGTTTCTTCAGGCTTTCTTTCAACAACGAAAAGAGGTTGAAAAGGGAGAAAATTTATTCTTATCCATTGACCAAGTAGAATTGAAATGTGTTTCATGAAATACCTTTTGTAAAAGTGTCCGAGGCCTGGACTAGGGCTTGCACTCGTTCGTCGCCTTTTATCTACTTTTGACCATCCACTTTAATCTTCATTTTGACAGAAACAAATAATGATAAAAAGTTAAATTTATTTTTTTTCTCCCTAAAATGAAAAAAATATAATAAAAAGAAATCTTTGAATTAAAAATTTAAATATATTATTATTATTATTTTTTAATTCAAATTTTAAATCATTCTATTCTACCTGTTATATTTTCTCCCGTCCAAATAAAGAATAGCTAATCATCAGCATCTATCTAAGTTAGAATATTAAATTTATGTATTCCAATTAAAGTAATGACAAGTCTCTTTGGTTCATTTCTAGTTAAGGAAAATTAGATTGTAAATCAATCAAAATATATTGATTGGATTTAGTTCATCAAATTTAATGTATAGTTTACTTTTCAATACATAATTCGAGAAATAGTTCAAGTGAATTGATTTGGATAATCATCTCTTCTGACTGAAACGACTTCTCATTTTATATTTGAAAAAAAGTTAAAACAGAACTTCAAATTAATTTATTTAGATAATCATCTCTTTTACAGTATCATATTGTATATATAAGAAAAAAAAATTACTAACAATTCCAGGAGCTAGTTATCAAATTTCAATTATCTAATTAGTTATCGTGTTCGATCGTCATATTAGTGTTAACTATTTTAAAATTAGAGTTTAGGCATAGCTCTTCTTTATGCTTGTGTTTAGTAAAAATTAAATCTTTAACTCTTTCCATAATCGCATGTGCTAATGGAGTCACTGAGTACTCGTTTAATTTAATTCGAATCTAAGCATGTAAACACAATCTACACTAACTTAATTAATGGAATTAAATTTTCTTTAAATCAATATAAACCCTTTATCTTGAGATAGATTGATGGTCAATCACAATTAAAGTTTCTTTTGAAAAAAATTAAGAAAAGACAAACATTTTACTCTCTACTCCGATAAACTAAGCCAAAACGCAACATACTGTTTATATACTTTTATTTTAGTTTTTTTTAAATTAATTTTTTTTTTATAAAAAGTATTTTTATTCGAATTCCATAAAATCACTAATGAATGACAAACCATTTTTTACTATTTAATTCCGAAGAGTTGGTTGAGTGAAATAAAATAAGGTGTAAGTTCAAGTTTTCACTTCTCTTTTTGAAGTGAGGTAAATATAAACCTGATCTTTGATACTTTTGCTTTCATTGCATGTTGAACAAAACGAACAAAAACTGTAAAAAATAAAGATGAAAATTAACTTTTGTAAGTAAAAAAAATGTAAGACGTTTTTTCCCCCCTAAACAATAGGATTAAAATTAAATAAAATTTAAATAAAACTAAAACTTAAAAAAATCATATTTTGAATAATTTATAAACGCATTAAAGTTTTAATTTATTCTTATCTTGTTCAATTTAGAAGAAAAGTTGGAGGAAATATTATTTTAACATAAGAATAAAATAGGCTTTCTTTCCTTAAAATATGTTTTCTTGCTCAATAATGTTACAAAGAAAAAAAAAATAGAAAATGAAAAGGGATACATTATAGTTTAGTTCACATTTTCTCAAGGTAATTACATTTGAACTGTATATTTAGTTCAACTTATTTTAAAAAAAGTATAAAAAATAAGGAATTATTTTTTCATCAACTAAATCAATGTTTTTCATGATTCAATCACTCGTATAATGAGTTGATGATATGTATGCAAAGTAATATACGGTTTTGTTTCTTGGGATAAACACCATATTCAGTAAGATTCTAAGAATATATGTCATGCTCATCTCCCTTTAGTTTCTTCGTGCCTTAGGCAATCAAAATTAAACTATGGGATTGGAAGATTTTAATAGAAAATAGAAGGTTAAATCTTATCTAGGTAAACTTTAAGAGAAAATTTTATAGAAGAAAAAATTAAGTATAAAAATGAATAATTTTTTAAAGTTAAAAATAACTTATTTTTTCAAAATTTTAGAAAATTAAATGAAAAATGTTTAAAAAATAGAGAAACATAAATTATTTATTTTTATATTAATTTTCTTTTTACTTTATAAAGACTTCTTAAAAATTACTTAAGGAATCTAATCTTCATTTAGAGATTTAGAAATTAAATTGATTTTAGATCAATTACGTTAAGGAAAAGGTAAGTGTAACGCTTCGCCTAACCTTTTCATCCATTATATTTTCGTTATTTCTCATTATGTTGCTTCCCTTTTAAATTCTAAAACATCAAAACTATTTTTATCTTTGTTTTAGCATATTTTCGTTATTTGTTTTAACATATTTTCGTTATCTATTGAGCTCTATCCAATTTCAAGTTCAGATAGAAATTGATTTAGCATAGTGATAATTGAATTATAAATCTACGAGGATGATACTTATTACATTCTTAAATTAATACTTGAAAGCAATATATTTATTACATGCACTTGCCAAACGTGTAGCAGTAATAGACAGCTAGGGTAAAATAAGTATTTACATATTCAATAACTAGTTATATCCTGAATTAAAACAATTTTTTTTCATGGAAACAATTAACTGTAAATTACAAAACTTTCTCGTGAATAATTAATCCTAAACAATTTTTTTAGGAAAAGTAATTTACAATGATCAAATACATTTTATAAAATTTCACAGAAATTTATAATACTCGTTCCCAGGAAAAGTAATTTTGATGGAATTGATAGATTCTCCTTACCAAATGCCTTGTTATTCAAATTTTTATTCCATTGTTGGCAGTATATGTTAATGCTATTTAATTGTAAATTTTAAATTATTCTTTAAAAATGGTGCAAATTGTGAAAAAAGCATATTCAAATTAGGATTTTGTGGTATTTTTACTTTTTTTTTTTTTTGAGATTTTGTTAATTTAAACTCTAAATTCTAAGTACTTAAAGTTGAGTTTAAGCATTTATAAATAAAATATTTTATAAAAAAAATATTTTTTATAAAAAAAAGTATATAGTTATTGTATTAAAATTATAAAAATATAATAAATATTTTTTTAATAAAATTTTATTATTATTAACTGTTTATTAAGGCTGAAGTTAATAAAATTATTTTTTATTATTTTTTAAATAAATTTGTGAACTTCGAACACGACTGCAAGAAGTTTATTTTTTTAATATGTTTTATTTCGTTACTTGATATATGATTTGAAGTAAATATTTTAATATTATTTTAGTAAAATTGTATGTATGAATAGCAACTAATTTAGAACCAGTTGCTCGTAAGTCGTAAACACTAATTATTTAAAATACTAATTGTGACTACGAATAACAAATTATATAATCATAAGAAATAGTTTATAATGACAGTGTTAAGCCAATAAAAGTCAATGTTCATGTTAATGACTTCACTAAAATGACAATAAAAAGTATTTAAATTTATCCTAACTTATATTTGATACTCACGACTTTTGTAAAAAATAAAAAAGAAAATCTCTAAGTAAATCATGCTCGGAGACTCATTTTTCTACAATAGATATCCTTCGAAGAAATAATTTAAAGACTGAATTAATAATAATAGAATATTGTTGTAGAAATGGAGTGAAAAAAAACGCTAATTTATTCATGGGAATAAGCTTACATGTAAATCATGCGAATTACTTGGACACCAAAGGTCCGCATCATACATGGGAGAAAAATATTGCTGATCAGATTCATTCGCCAAAGGTGCAAGCAGTTCATTTGGAACATGGGACAAGTCCACAACATACGGTTGTGTCCAACAATATGTTGTTGGCTGTGTTGCTTCTAGAAAGGCAAAATGGTCATTCTCCATAACCAAATTTTCACTCGAAGATGACGGGGGAGATAATTCCCACGTATCTGGGGTCCCTCTAGTATCTGAACCTTGAAAATTACCATCACCAATTATCTCAGTTAGACATGACTCTATCCACATATTCTCATTCACATCCTCTGTGCATGCATCCATAAAATTTAAGCCAATTTCGCTAGTTGCCCCTGTGGTACTAGCTGAGGGTGTGGAGGAGAATTGGCTTGAGGATAATTGAGGGGACAAAGGGTCACAAGAGGTCTTGGAAGTGGATGGAGAACTATCATTGTTCTGAACAGAGTCTTTCCCTTGCTTCATCGATTCAGAATCATTTGATTCAGTGCCTCTGTCCTTTCCAAAACGTTTCTTGAGGGTAGTGTGCCAGTGGTTCTTTATTTCGTTGTCAGTTCTACCGGGTAAATGAGTGGCAATGATGGACCATCTACAAAGAAAGTGAGAAAAAAATGAAATTAACATTCCCCAACTAATGCTTATAATTGACACATTGATATTCGAGTGGCGATTTGCAAGACCCATTGGTACGCAAGTGTTGAAATAGAGGGAAAATTATCAAATTGAAATGTGAGCATACTTGTTACCCAGCTTTTCGTGTAGTTTGATTACAGTTTCTTCTTCTTCTTCAGTGAAGTTCCCTCTTTTTATGTTGGGTCTGAGATAATTCAGCCACCTCAGTCTGCAACTCTTTCCACACCTTGCCAGACCTGAAAATGATTCACATTTTCATGTTAAAAATAATGATATAATGCTTATTAAACAATTTCACAAGGGGAGGAGGAGGGGGAAGGGAGAGAAAGTGAGTTCATGTATTCTAATGAATTTTAATGAATTAATTAGCTTAATTTTCCCATGTGATAAGATATGTTCAATTAATTAATTACCTGCAAATCTTGGGAGTTGGCGCCAATTCCAACAACCATAGCGAGTGACATAAGCTATTAATTTCTTATCCTCTTCTGGAGTCCAAGTGCCTTTCTTAAGTCCACTTTTGTCAGAAGAAGGGGTTCTCACCATCTCTCTGTTTATGTTAGCAATGTAGTTTAGTCCGTGGGTGTAAGAGACAATAAGAAACTCTGATGATGATCTATATTGTTTTCCTTTTGCTTCTCATCACTACAATCACTAACGGCTTTACTATATTTATATATACATGCGTTCACATAGCCAAAACGTGTTTCATGCTCTATAAAATCCAAATAAGGTAAATAATTCAAAAGATTCCCTCTTTCTTTCTTTATCAAATATCTTTCTCAGCAGATTATGTTTTTACACCCTACGATTGTTTCCCCTTACGCTTGGGTGAAAGCAGAAAATACAAAACATAGCTACAAATCAGGGGGGACAAATTGGCTATCTAAACCATAAAAAGAAAATTAATATTAACAGTTAATGTTTTTCAACTATTTATTTCAACAAATCAAATACTTTTACTTTTCTTTTATGTTTTTTTAGATTCATTTTTATTTAAATAAACATTTTATTTCTTAAAATACATTAAATTTTGATTTTAGTGGTTATAGTTTATTTTATGAATATTAAAATTGAATATACTTAGTTATTTTTTGTTATCAGAGTGCATCCATCTGTCTCAGCTTAAGTCTCGTTCTTCAAATCTGCAGTAGTTCTATAGAGGCGTGAAGAAACCTTTTTCCTTATTGTCGTAATATATAATTATTAAAATTTAAGAAAATACTGTCCATTCATTTAAAAAATGAAAAATGTCAGTGGAATGAGCCGCCACCTGCTTATCCATATTACGGGAAAGTAACAGGAAATTTGATTTTTCTATAAAGAAAAAGCAAATGAACACGTGTGGAAGTCAACATGAATAGGAGGTATCCACGTCAACGTATTTATGACAAAAAACATGGTTGTGCTTGTGCGTGTATACGCTTGAAAATATGGGATGACGTTTCCCATTTGGATAGAGTCAGCAATCATATTTCATTCTCTGTTTTTCAAACTCCAACTTCAACATTTAATTTCCCCTCATAGCTTAGGTAGACATCATTTTAATGGAGGACGATTCAAATTACTAGAACTTGCATAATATCACACCTCTGTTTTTCTATCATTCATACGGTTAAACTAAAATTAATTTTAATTAACCATTTTCATCATTAATATAAGATTAAGCGAATGCTTAGTCGTGCTTAAAAGACATAATAGCCTTTTTTTACTCCTTTAGTAAATTTGCCTAGAAATTTGTATTTTTTAAATTAATTAATTAAATTTTCATCAAGATTACATTTCACTTCACTCTTGCCAATCTTAAAACTTACTTTAAATTTAAAGTTTAACAATAAAAATTTAAAATTAAATTTATTTGTAACTTAATAATATTTTTAAACTAAGAATTACCCTTTTGTCAATAAAAAATTACCTTTAAATCAACTATCGATTTATAATATATTTTATTAGTAGATGCTAATTTTTAAACGAAATTATTTTAAATAAAAATATTTTTAAAGAAATTATTTATATATTTTATTTTTTCATTATATCAAATAATTTTTTAAAATATATATTTTTAATTTTATTTAATATAATAAATTATTTACTGTTAATAATTATAATATTTATTTTTAAAATTTATTAAATTTTAAAATAATTATATAATATACATCTAATTATTTGATAAAAGAATTATTTTAATTTAATGATACTCTTACAGTATATAAAAGAATACTAGTATATTCTTAAATTATAGGACTAAGAATAAAAAAATAATATTTTAAAAGTTATATATATATATATATATATATATATATATATATTAATGAATAAGGTAGAGCCATAATGAATTAGATCGAACAGTACTTAATTAACCCAAAAATTAACTTATGTTATGCATTTACTTTATACGCTTTGCACCTATACATATAATATCTGAATGAAAAAAGGTTATACTCATCTATTACCCATTAGCTAAAAATGGCTGATTAAATTGAGAGAAGACATGGAAACACAAGTTTAAATTTTGTTCTTAGTGTAATAAAAGTGATAAAATAATTGTTTTAGCCAAAAATTTAAAATTTCATCAAAACAAATTTTGAAACATCACTTTCTCAATTATTTCGCGATGTTCAAACATAGGAACAACTGTATACAAAAGCGGAGGTGGTCCTGCTTTTGAATTTGGAATCTTTTGAATTTGTATTAGATGCATTTAAGTATTTTTTTTATTTATTATTTTAAAAAATAAAAAGTATTAACTGTTCTTTAATATTATCCTTATACAATCGGAATACTTTTTTTACCAAATATTATTATAATAGCTCTAATATTATTTTAGAAATAATTATCATCAATTAGTTATTTCAATAAATTTATTATTTTTAATAAAATGAACTTATTTTACTAAAATAATTAATAAATTTAATATATTTTTAAATATGTATATATTCATTTTGAAATGCATCTAAAATAAGACGTAGGGAGTAATTTTTTTTACAAAATCACTGTCGCTAATTACTTTCTTTTGCTGCATACAATTTTGTTTTTTTTTCCTTTGTTGAGAGTTAGTACGGTACACTAGTATTCAATTATTTTTAATACTAATCAACATTTAAGAAAGATGAGAATTAAATTAAATTAAATATTATATAAATAGTAATAATTAAATTATATCTGTATAAGTTAAACCAATTCTTATATTTGTTAATAAATTTTTATTAAATATTTTAATTTTAAAATAATTTATTAGATTAAAAAGTTCAATAATATATATTATGTCTACAAAAGTTTATATCAATCTAAAATTATTGAAAATCTTATTCAAAATTAACAATATATATGTGTGTATATATATATATACAACGTCTTCAACCATGAACTATATATTGTCTCTCAATTCAAATCCATATAAGTATAAGCATGTGTCAGTTTCTTTTTTTTAGTATATAATAACAGTTACTTACTTTCATTAAAAATGCTTTTAACTGGACTTATCGTTAGGGACAGGCAGCGATATACAAAGCAAACATATTACCCTGTTGCCATCCTTTTTTTTTTCTATTGTTTCGTACCCATATTATTTTTATAATATAGAGGAAATCCAATAACACGTTTTTAAGCCTGTTTTTTTTTTAATAAATTTTAGATCATTATTTTGAAAAATGAAAATAATATTTAAAAAGTGAGCAATTTATGTGGTAAATAATTTTTTAAAAAAAATAATTATAAAGAATGTGTTGAAAAACATGTTACAAACATATCACCTAGTCATATTCACTACAAAAAGATTATCATTTGTTAAAATTATCAAAGATTAAAATAATTTTCATTGATATAATATTTGTGTAATAAATTTTTTTAATAAATAATTTAAAAATATATGCAAACAAATGATATAGTATATTAATGTATATGTAATAGAGGTACATAATAATGATTAATTTATACTAATGAAATTATTTGTTTGAATAATACATCATATTCATATTGTTAGTACAAAAACTCAAAATATTTATACTACAAAAATTCAATTTTTGTTAGGAGAATATATATTAACATAGGCTAATATAATGTTAAATTGTTAGTAAATGGTAAATTTTTTAATATTAACTACATAAACTATTATAAATCAAAACATCAATATTTAAATTAGTGAACTAATTCTTTCACCAATTTGGTAAACGGTTTACTGTATAAAACGCTAATATTCTAGAGAGATGCCGTGACTTGACCTGTATACAGTAAAGTTAATGCTTATGGAACGGTAAAGCATATATAAGAATAGTAATTTAATTTTTGAAAAAAAATTATGATTTTATAATTTAAATTTTGTTGTGAAGATATTTAATTTTAAAATTTTAAAAAATTTTAGTAAGGATTTTTAATCAACTAAAATAAAAAAAATTTAAATTATAACAAAAGAGTGAGAATTTAGAATTATTATTATTTATTTATTCTATGTGCCATTTAGATTTTTATTTAGTTATGATTAATTTAATATTTTAAATTTATATTTTTAATTAATTTTATCAAATATAATAGTTATTTTATTTTATTTTAAAAACAAGTAATTTAATTATTCTATCCAAATAAAAAAATTAATATAAAAAAATTCAATTTTTCTATTCAAACAAAATATTTTAAAATAATATAATTTAAATATTCTAAAATTTGTAATTATCTTTAAACGCAACTTAAAGATAAACTGAGAAGACGAATAGAAGACGGAAACAAATAAATAGACTTGCAAGACCTGAAAAACATGAATCTCCTTTTTCAATTGTTTTACTAAAACATTCATACAACCATTGTGAGATGCTAGAGCCGTGTGCTTTCGAGGAGTATACGGACAAGTTGGAAGACTTGGAAAAACATGTTCAATCTGACCCCATTGGCCATTTTCTGTCATTACTTGTATTTTAGACAAATGTTAGATAATCGACCAAAAAACACAGACAATTTACCAGATGAGGGCCTTCCAAAGAAATAACTAAAACATATCGATTATTAGAAAATAGTAGGTATTAAAAATTGTGGTCCACAAATTAACCATGGTTAAGAAACAATTACATTGCTTTGGATGGACATCGATCTTCGATGACGTCAGGTAAGTACCCTACTGGAAAGGGAATGATGCAGTTGACCGAACAAAAAACAGAAGAGAAAATAAAGAAAGCGAATGAATCATGTTCAACGATGTATATATACATTATTTTTTGACCAAAAAGGTACGATTTTTTTTTTAAATTTAGGATTTTTAATATTATTTATTAAAAATTAGAAAAAATTTAATTATTAACTTGAGGTATTTTTAATTTTCTTAATCATTATGTAAATTTTACGTAAACAACGTGTAAAACTCTTGACACGTATATGTAAGTGGGTTTCATTACTTGTTTGACACGTTATATTTATGTTTGACACGTCATTTGACACGTAATAAATTAAATAATGTAAAAAATATAATAATTAAAAAATAACATAATATAAAAAAATTCTATGAGTAAACAAATCCTATAATAATTAAAAATAAGTATTCAAACATGCTTTGAAATTATATTTTATTAAGATATTTCAAAATGATAAACAAAACAAACTTAGCTTCTAGCATTGCATGATAAATTCGTTATATTATTATGATAATTTTTTTATTAAAACAATGAGGATAAAAGTACAATTTGGTTAATAAAGTATAAGTTCAAACGCTATTATAACCGATTCATGAGTTACTAATAATAGCATCTATATTTTGATCATAATAAATTTATAGGCCTTGTAGAAGTAATAAACTAACTGAAATTTCCGAACCAAAGATATGTCTTGCAATAATATTGAAGTTGAAACGAATAGCTTTGAGTAAGAAAATTCATCTACTGCTCCCTCGTACTTCTAGATGGATGTGAATGATTGTAAACTTGTAAGTTTTGGTTTTTTCATCAAACAAAACTTACGTGTATTTTTAAGTATTTTTTATCTGATTTTTAATTAAAAATAGAACTTTCCATCAATAATATATGGTAATATTAAATAATCACATTTTATCAAAAAAATTAGAATAAAATTTAAAGACATCTACCTAAATTTTGTCCATTTCCAGTCTTCTCTCATGCATGCTGAGAGAAAAGGTAATAAGGGTGCGCACTGAAGAATGTATTTCTTTCTTGTATTCTCTCTGCCGTTTCCTTGGATTTTCTCTAAAGTATTTGATTATGAAAACTTTCTTTTATCGTAAAAGACAAAATTAAAAAAAAAAAAGTCTTAAGACGCTCTGTGTGTCTAATAAATCCAATTATATGTGTATAACTCAAAATACGATAATTAAAACGAGCAAGTCCTGTGTAGTCTACTTAAGCTCATAGAAATGATATAGTTTGCAAACAAAATAATATTAGTACTTTTGTGGTAGTAGCTTATTAAATTTAGATATCTTGCTTCTGAATTATTTTTAAAGTAAGGGATTGCTTTTCTCTCTTAAATTAACTTACTTGTTTTCTTCCTTATATGGCGTCAGAAGAAATTTTAAAGAAAACGACTAATGAAATCAAAATAAAATAAATTTCATCTTTTTTTCTACATAATCAACTTACAAACTGCTGAATTAAAATTTATCAAATAGCACATAATTCAAATATTTCTCAAAGAATCCAAAAGAAAATTTCTGGCAAAACAAAAACCTAAAAGCTAACCAAATTTGCAAGAGAATATAAAAAAGAAGACACAAATCGACATAAAATTATCCTAGAAAGGAATAAATACACAAAATCTCGTAAAAACATGAATATGCAGGAAACACAAATATACAAAAATATCTGCAAATAACATAAAATTGTAAGAAAATCTATATGAAACTAAAATTATCAAGTAGTAAACACAAATTCAGAAGAAAGTTCTAATGTAATTTTAAATCCACAATTTTTTTAAAGAAATACAAATCCAGAAATAAATATATACCCAAAAGAAAATCCATTAGAAATACAAATTTGTAGGAAAATCTTCAAGAATAAAATTACTTACGGATATTTCTACAATTTTTTCATGTAAATATATTAACTGGCTTGCAACTACTTTCCTATGAATTTTATTTCAGATATTTTCATGATAAAACATTAAGCAGATAAATCAACAACAAACTTATCTACATGACCGAGGAATTTTTCTTTAGACTTTTCTGCAAATTTATTTTACTTTCAAAATCTATATGATTTTTTAATTTATTTAAAATTTTAAGATAATATTAATTTATTTTTTTTTGTTATGTTCTTATAAATGCAAAGGGAGTAATTAGGGGATTAGAATAGGCCAAGTTAATTAGGTCATATTTTACAAGGCCTGAATTTGGTTTTTTCCTTGACAAAAGCCATGTTTGTAGATCTGACCTGACTTATTTAGAAATCTAACGCTTATTAGCTTATCTAAAGGCTTGATTTGCATGAGGCCTAAAATATGCCCCATGTCTTCAGTGGAGAAGCTAGCAAAATATGGAGATGGTGCGTGACCTTCGATGGAGAACGATCTCAAATTATGATAGTCTTCAAGGCTTTGGCAAAATATGGGCACGTGGCCTTTGACAGAGGAGTTTGGCAATTAGATACGACCGTACTGTATAAATAAATTAAGTAAATATAAGAAAACTTTCAATCAAATGTAAGATGGTCAATTAAATTGCTACAGTACTGCACACTTGGATTTTATCGGTTGAATCGGAATTTACTTATATGGTTGTTTTAACTCAATTATTGACTAATTATTCAGCCACCATAAATTTTGAGAAAGGGTTAATGACATTTACTATTGTTTTATGGAAAAGAACTTAATTTATCTGAGCAATTTCAAACGTCATTTCGTTTAAGAAAAAGAAGGCAAAGAAGAAAATATATTAAAACGAATCTATTTATCTGTACAACTTTTATCTTAACTGTTATTTTAAAACTATGATTTTAATTAAAATGACGTACTTAAAAGGGGGGAAATTGTCCGTAATTCCAAAAATAGTGCCAAATTTTTGGAAAATAATACATTGACATAACATTCATGTTAAATAAGTTTGAGAAAGGATAAATAAGAAGAAAGAAAGAAAATTAATAAATATAGGGAAGATAAAATGAATTTGGAAACGTAATAGTGGGAAGATTTTATGCTTATTCCAGCTACAAAATATAGTTACATCATATCAACATTCCAATATGCATTTTGGAAAGACATAGGGGCAGGCACGAATAGCAAATTTATTAACAAGGTTGAAGTCCACAAATATTGGAAACTTGTGATCAGTGAAACAAACCCTCACATTCCTGCAGGTACAAATCATTTTGGCTCCAAAGTTCTACATCACACATAGGACTAAAGTATTCAGGCACAACTGCTTCACCAGGAGGGACATAGGAATCGTCAATTACATATGGCTCTGTCCAGAAATTTGCACTCTCAGGCTCCGTGTATGCGTCCAAGAAAGAAAGATCATCATCTTCTGGAACCAAAATTTCATGGTTTGTGGCTTTTGTAGTGTCTGTTGTTGAGCAGGAGAGTCCACTAGACGATGGCTGTGGTGACAATGGACAAATATTATCACTACGATTGGCATCCACTGACTTTGAAACTTTGGTTTTTGCAGTTCCACGTCTATTGTCTGATTTCTGTTCAAAACGCTTCTTCAGGGTTGTGTGCCAGTGATTCTTTATCTCGTTATCTGTTCGCCCTTGCAATTGAGCGGCAATCGTTGACCATCTGCACAATCGCACACCATTCAATAATTTCTATACATCTTGGTCTTATTAATTAGTACGTAAGGAAATTGATCAAGGAATCAATAATTAGAATATTTTCAACAAAAATCACGCATTGAAAAACATGTTAGTAGTCTATTAACATTATTTTTTATTTAGTACCCTTAAAAGTATTGGTTAAGAAAAATGCTAAAAACACATTTTTTGATACTTTTTTTTAACATATTTTTAATTATTAATTAAATTTTATTAAAAATTATAAAAGAAAATTGTGAAATTAGGAATGAAAAAGAATATAATTTTTATAGTTTTTAATAAATTTTAATTAATAATTAGAAGTGTGTTAAAAATAGTTTTAGAAAGTGAGTAGTTAGCATGTGATGCTTCTCTTTCTATCATTGTATGCTGCAGTTGCCGATTTTGCAATATACGTGATGTCTTCATAGTTTCAAACTGTGGTCAGCACTCAGTAGTTGCACCAGGAGCCAGGAGCCACATCTTTGTGGTCTTTGAGGTTTCTGCTACTGAATTTCGGCTGCAGCAAATATAGTTCTCACAATATTGTCATTGCGACTGTAATTCTAGTTTAAAATCATGGATGTCTTCAATGCATTTGGTTATTATAAAATAAGAAAATGTATAAAGTAAAAAAATGATCGTACATTTATACACAATTTAAAATGTGTTGAAGTTTAGAATTTATTTATGATAGATAATTTATTTTCTCACTTTATAAAAACTACTAGTCGTTTGATTTGTCTTTGTCAAAGTATATCGTGTATGAATAATTCCAACTCTTTTTTCATTCCTTCGTTTTGATTTTAAAAACGATCACAATCCGATGGTGATATGAGGTTGTCGGGATAGAAGAAGCAATAGCTTTAGTCCTTGTAATATGCAATTAATATATGTATATACATACCTATTACCAAGCTTTTCGTGAAGTCTGATAATAGTCTCTTCTTCTTGGTGACTGAAGTTCCCTCTCTTGACATCGGGCCTCAGATAGTTAAGCCACCTCAATCTGCAACTCTTCCCACACCTCGCAAGACCTGAAAATTAAACCAACCCCAAGGTTTGAAGACTGAACTCTTATCACGTCGTATTACATATCAGTTGCATAATTTATTCTTCTCTTTTTTCTCTGTTAATAATATCACGAGTTTTATTATATATCTTAAAATGACAAATATATATTACTTTAAGGATTAGTGTACATAACCATTTATTAATAAAAATATATATATATCATATAAATTGTTTTTTCTCTTCTATTTCTATTTATCGGATGAGTATATACTCAAGTGTATACACCCAAGAAGTTTCCAAGTAACACTTCCCATTCCAATATGGCTGAAAGAAAAGAAAAGGCAGACGTAAAATAAAGCATAGTTTCTTATAGACGTTGGTGATCCACAGTACCTGCAAATTTGGGGAGTAGGCGCCAATTCCAGTGACCATATTTAGTGACATAAGCAATCAACTTCTTGTCTTCCTCAGGTGCCCAAGCGCCTTTCTTCAATCCATTTTTGTCAGAAGAAGGGGCTCTCCCCATCTCGATCTGCAGGTAGCTAAATTGCTTTTATTATTCAGTGGTAGCGTCGGTGCGTAGTGGGTGTTGTCTTCTTAAATGCATACAGAGGTACAGAGGTAGGAGCAGAGGGAGACAGGGACTTGGTTTGTTATATTTCTTTGCATGTGACCCAAGCTCGAATCTTCGCCTCTTATTTAACATGCGTTCATGCGTTCACAACTAAAACGTGTTGCACGGTTCAAAGGGTATTTAATACCAATATATTCTTTCACACTTATTCTTTTGAACAATGTATAGACTTCGTTGACAAAATAGCAAGTATAGAGAGAAATGTATTAATACTTAGTTTGATAAGAACAATAAAAAAGAAAAGGTACGAAAATAGTTTTTCAAATTAGGTTCATTACAAATTTACACTCTATCGGTTATATCCATATCAGTATACTAGATTAGGAACACTGGAAAATACGATAAGAAAAAGGGAGAGAAAAAAAAGTATAAGGTGATGACTATAAAAAAAATCCCCACTCAGATCAAATATGTTGTGCGTATAGTTTATTTTCTACACCCATACTATATGCTTTCCTTTATTAAATATATAATTATTTTTTAAAATAAAAATAGTTCTATAAAATGAAATTATTAAGATCAATCAGTAGAATTATTTTAATTTAACCTGTAATTTAAATTTTGAACTTTAATAAATACAACTATATTAAATAGTTGAAGAAAAACTCATTATAATTAGTTATTTTAGATAATTAAACTTTGCATGATTTTTAAAATAACATATTTGATCACTTTTAAACGATATATATATATATATATATATATATATATATATATATATCATACAGACGAACTAATTTCACTATATTTAAATTATTTATATTTTAATGTGACTTTTAATAAATGAATTATAATTTAAGTATAAGTCAAGATTTTTCATACATAAAATAATAAACTTAATAAAGTCTCAATTACTTAAACTTAAATTAATTAATTCATGGTTGAATTAGGTTAGATTAATAAACATGTAAAAAATTTAAAAAATAATTTAAATAATATTTTAATTTAATTAGTTAGATATTCTTTTTATCAAATTTCGGTCTCATTTGATATTATGATATTATCCAATAATGATATATATTTGCATTTATTTATATCATATTAGAAATTAATTTGAAGTGCAACTTAATATACTTAAGTGTATGTTCTATTATCTTTAAATAAAAGTAAATAATATTTTAAAAATATAAATATTATGAAAATTAAAATAAATAAATAAATAAAAACTAAAATTAAGTAAAACCGTGTTAAAAAGAACTGAAGTTTTACTTTGGTTTTCTATAGAATTTGTGATCTTTAGTATAATCTTTTTATAAATTTAAAATTTATTTATTTATTCAGTTTTTATAAATATTAATTTTTTAGTGATTAATATGGTAGTAATTAATTTTTATTATGAATAAATTTTAAATTATATGCCTAATTTTATTAACCAATGCAATAATTAATTTTAAAAATTTTAAAAATTGATATCAATTAATTAAAAATATTATAAATACAAATTTTTAAATTTTTATTTTTATTGCCAGAAGGATTGTTTGGATTTGAAAGAAGCTGTTGCAAAAAGTCAGGATTAGGGTCAGGGAGAATGGAAAATATTTTTACACTCACAACACTGTGGTAGGCCCAGTCAATGTTCTAATGGCAAGTGTCGTTAATCCTAACCTTTAGCAGTTGAAGTTAACATGGACCATTGAAAAACTAGTCCATGATGGACCACTATTATAAGAAACGTTAGATATAAGAATAATTTAATGAATGGTTCACATGAATTACCTTCTAGGATCTTCGATTCTATTGGATAAAAATAGATATTTAATTTATTAAATATCATAAATTTATATTTTATTGTAGAAATATTTATAGTATTAAATTGTTAAATTGATATAATATTTAATAGATGAATTTATCTACTTGTATGACTGAAAAATAATTTTTTTATTTATACAAATTTTATGATAAATAAAAATATAAAAATAAATTAATACATCTAAAAGTAAATATTTATTTTTTTATAATTAAGATCACAAAAAAATTATTAGCTATTTTTATAAATAAAACTAAAAATTTTATTAATACCAACGTACTAGTATATGTTTGAAAATATATTTAAAAAAATTAAAAATGTAAATTTTTAACGTATAAAGTATAATTAGTAATATTAAAATAAATTTAAATTTATAACTATTTAAATATAAATTTAAACAAGCTGATAGTTGTTCATCCTCTGTTATTTCTTCTTGATTGACTTTCTAAATAAATTGTTCTGTGCATCCTTGATGATAATTGGAACGTTGTGGGATGTTTCTGGCTACAATTAGCTTATTTATGCGTCTTTTGATACCATTAGAATGCTATTGTTCTACCTGATATTAGAGGTGTAACTGTAAAATAAATTTACTTACTAACATATAAAAATTTGTCATGTATTTCAATAACTTTGTTAGTATAAATATTATTTTACAAAAATTAAATTCCTAATAAAGAATATAAAAGCCTGTACTAACAAACAATATACTAACATTAGTGTGGTGATAACGTACATTAATATTCTATACTAATAAAAATATATACTTATATAATCATATATCAAATTGTTAGTAGAAATTGAAAGTATTACACCGATATATGTGTAGATTAGTGCATGTGCTAGAACACTATCCAATTGAATTGCTATTTTGCTGATATTATTAGTTAGCTTACATGTAGTTAGTCGCTTAGTTTGGATGTTGTGACCTTTTTCCTACAATTAGAAGCATACTGGTCATATTTTGAATAATTGATTTGCAAATTTTGACCCATTGTCATTATCTCTACTGCATTTAATGAAAAATTGTCTCATTTCAACGCGGGTTTATAATTGCATCCAAGACTTATCAGTCAATCCAATAAGATTATTTTAACGGAGAACTTTTATTATTATCTATTTATGTATGTCTCTCTACGTGTGTTTATGTGTTGTTTAAATAACTTAACAGCGCTCGTGTGTCCTAGCTCATGTGCTAGAAGACTAGTTTTGTTGAGACTACTAAAATTAGCTTAATTATGTACTAAGTTAGGACGTTGTGGCTTTTTTCCCCATAAATAGAAGCATACTTCTTATCATATTTGAAATAATCATTTTTCAGTCTATGTATTGGTTCCATCTACTTTGACAACTAGAGTAAGGATTTTAGCCATGATACCTCCGTTTTTAATTGAGAGCCCAATGCTTGGACCAAGGATAGACCAAAGGTGTTTGTCGAAATAGAGGTAAATTAAGAAGACCAAAGTTAGGGCGGAGACAGCATGCATATATAAGGGAAGTCCCAAGCCGTGGTTGAAAATGTGAACTCTATGAAGGTGGAGAAGCGTGCAAGAAATTACTTGAAGGAAATGAAGGAACCAAAGTATTAAAATGTTACATATCAAAAATATCTTTTATAATATTTGAATAATTCTTCTCTTATGTGCTAATTTTAAAAAAAATTAAAGTATTATTTTTATATAATATCAAAATTTTTGTAATTTAAATATTAAAACACTTATAGATATTAAGTTTTATAAATATTTTTGCTAAATATCTATTAAGTAAGAATATGAGCAAAATATTCTAAATACTTTTAAAAGAATTTGAGAAATCTTTTTTTTCTAATGAATTAGTAAGTCGAGCCTAATTTTTTAATGTAAAACTTGTGCTTCTTGACATTCAAGCTACGAGAATGCACTTTGTCATTTCTTTGAACTTGCAAATGGGGCAAGAGCTTATATGCATGGTAGGTCTTGACACTGGCACTGACCGTAAGATAGGTATGAATGATGCTAAAGAAAGAAAATAATCATTGACGAATTCCCTCCTTCACTTATTTGATGGCAAATTGGAACTCCAACTCCTCCATTCATGACCTCATCTTTGCCTTTAAGATCATTGCCACTATGTCCGCTAGGTTGGGACTCATGATAGCAATCAAGGATGAAGTAAAGGAAATATATACGAGGGCTGAAATGAAAGTCCAGCAGACGAAGAGAAATTTGTTGGATGCTATGTTGGCTACTTGTCTTTATATTGCCGATTGAAAGGCAAACCGTACATTTTAAGAGAAATTTGCTCTATTATCTACAATATCACAAAGAAGGAAATTGACCAAGCAAATTAAGGAATGCATAATGAAATTATATAATTGTGTTTGGCGTAGAAAAGTACGATACATGTTGTCCTAATTGTACAAGTTAGATTACTCATCCAAGATCAACATATATACATATATGATCAACGATATTCGCTTGCATGCTGGAAATTATTGATCATGTTGCTTAAAGCACAAAGGGAAAGGACATAGACTCTCTTCTATCGAGAAACAATATTTCTAGTGTGACGATGTAATTTTCATTAAATTCGATTAATGCTCCCAAAATTTTTTTAAGAAAAATGTTAGCATTACATTTTTTTAATGTATATTTTTTTAACACCGATAGCTATTTGTTAAAAGTTATTAAAAATTATAAAAATAAAAATATATATTAATTTATGTATAAAAAAGTAAAAATTTTATAATTTTTAATAAATTTTTATTTAATAATTAAGGGGGTATTAAAAATAGTATGTTTATCAGTGTGTTGCTAACCTTTTTAAAATTGTTAAGCTCACGTTGTTGGCCTTTGTCATGGATTTAATGTACGTCTCATGTGGTGGAATGAATCATGGTGTGTCATGATTTCCCTTCGGAATTGACTTTGTAGAAGTTATGCGGTATAATGTTGCCTGAGTTACAAACAATCATTGCAATTGAGGAAGTTGAGTAGTTGATCAAAGATGCTGGCTGTGCTACATTCCAAGCTGGCATTGTTGCCTTCCATCACCCTTCAACTTGGGTAGGATAAGAGTGCTCACGCGTCCTAGAAATGAACTTATAGTTATCTTACATATAGTTAGTTGTACTTAGTTTAGTGGTTGTGATTCTTTTCCTACAAAT